TTTTTTTTTTTTGGTACTGGGGATTGAACTTGGGACCTTGCACTTGTGAGGCAGGTGGTGGAACCACTGAGCTAAATCCCCAGCCTGTAAAAGTGAGTTTCATTATCCCTACTTCATTTATTCACTCATAAAACATTAGCTCTGTGCCAGGAGCTAGGCTGGGCTATAAGAACAGAGATAAACATATTGCTCCCTGGCCTCAAGGAACTGGCTCAAAAGAGGAGACATACAGACAAACAGATGCTCTCTGAGTTCCTTCCTGTTGTACTTCTTTAAGATGAAAAGTATTTTCTCTTTCTTTCTTTCATTTTTTTTTTTGAGACAAGTTCTTGCTACATGCTGTCCTTGAACTCACTATGTAGCCCAGGCTGGCCTCAAACTCATGGCAATACCCCTGCATCAGTCTTCTGAGTGCTGGGATTATAGGCATGCGCCACCACATCTGGCTGAGAAGTATTTCCTAAATGAGTAACTAGAAGTTAAGATTTTTTAAAAAAAATTTATGTAAAAGAACAAAGCATGTTATTTCTATGCTAAATTACAGTTTTCAAAAAAGTTCATGGTAATGGTAGTACATGCCTGTAATCCCAACACTCAGGAGGCTGAGGCAGGAGGATCTCTGAGTTTGGGACCAGCCTGGGACCATAGTGAGTTCAAGGACAGCCTGAGCTACCAAGTAAGAGCCTGTCTCAAAAAGCAAAACAAAGTAAAAATTTCAAATCATGGCTGATATAAAATTTTATTCAACCTTTTCATTGATGAAGAAACCAATAAAAAAACCAGCTCAAAAAGCCAAGTATAATGGCACACAACTGTAATCTCAGCACTCTGGAAGGCTGAATGAAGTAAGAGAATCATGAATTTGAACCTAGCGTGGGCAACTTAACATCTTAGCCAGCCGCTGTGTTAAAACCCTAAATAAGAGGCTGAGAATGTAATTTATTGTGAAGGCTCTGGGTTTAATTCCCCAATCCCCAGCACCACAAAAAAAGAAAAAGAAGTTCAAGGAAGGCTTGAAGATATACATAGCCATATATTCATCTATCTATCTATCTATGTATCTATCTATCTATCTATCTATCTATACACATACACAAATGTATTTCAAGGGGCCGGGGATTTAGCTCAGGGGTGGCACCACCTACCTCGCAAGCACAAAGACCCGAGTTTGATCCCGAGTACCAAAAATGGAAACAAAAAAACCCAACAACAACAACAAAACAAATGTGTTTCAAAAACACTGAAATGAAGTTGCTAGAAAAGCAAAGCTGGTTAATATTCTTACTATCCTACAGAATAATAACATGTAATTTTGAAGATCACCTTTTTTTTTAAGGGCAGGATTCAATTGTGACTTCACCAGTTACAATTCATTTGCTTTGTGGGGGCTAAGAGTCATTGTCATCACTGTAAATATTTCTTTACAACTTAACTGCCACTCTGTGGAGTTGTGAAATAGCCTACTTATTAGAAAGACAAGAAAAGGTGTACACCCACAGAACCAGAGTCTCCGAGAGTCGGCAGGATGACACCTGGTACTCCATGGAAGGGACACCAAGCATTCCCTTCAGCTCTGTTTCGAAGTCTTGAGCAATTGCTCATACCACTGGCAGAGCTGAAGATGCTGCCCTTGGTCTTGCCTGTATCTCTCTAAGGTGATATGGATGCCCCCTCCCAATGAGTGTGTTTTTGTTCACTCTTGAGAGAACGTCACCCTTTCTGGCCCACACTTTATTTAGTCACTGACAGATCTTCCAGTCTTTCTCTTCATCTCTGCATCTGATTTCTTGATCGTTGTCTTCTTTGACTGGTCACCCCTAGTCATCCTCCTCAATTAACATTGTATTTCCAAGACTCATTCAGGCAGTTATAGTTATGTGACCATCATAGAGATGCTTTGAGTTTCCTGCTATTATGAGCATTGTGAATATGAACCTTCTTGCCAGCTCCTGGTACCCACATGCAAGGGTTCTATTTGGGCACCAAATGACTGGCATTCACAAAGTCTCCCAACCTTGGCACATTGCCTTTGTCCTCAGATGAACCCCTATCACTGTTGAGAGATGTCTGCCACAGACCCAGCCACCACACACACACACACACTTCAGTGTCTGACCAGAGAGGAGGCGCACTGTCCCAAGAGCCTCCAGCAGAGGTTCTTTGATTTTCACTGGACAGGAGTAGACAGTAAGTTCCTTTCAAAGCCGACCATAGGCAAAGGGACTGGGATCACCAGAACGACTTGGACTAATCAGGGTTCTGCCCCCAAGTCACAGAGCAAGATTAGCTGCAGCACAGGTCCTAGAACAAGACCAGTGCTCTGCAGGTAGGAGGCTGGATGCAACCACAATGGGTAGAAAAACCGACAGTAGCCAGGGTCTGCTCCATGCCCTGCCCCTGCCATTCTCCTCCAGCTGCCAAAAGGTTTTTCCTCTAAACATCTGTGTCTCTGCCCAAAGACCTTTCTCAGGTTTTGGGAGTATGCTGGGCCTGTGCAACACAAGCCAACAATACTAAAAATTCTCAACATCTCCAGAAGCAGCCTGTTCTGGGAAATTGTAGGTAATACTCAGCTTCATCACCCCTCAGTTGGAATCACTCTGCACATGTTCTACACGGCTTCCCAGAGTTCTCCAGGGGAATGAGCCGTGGTTGCACACAGAGGCAACCAGCAGAATGGTGAACCTTTTATTATTTGTCCTAGCTTCTATTTCACTTAGCCGCTTCTCTACCACTGTTTCCTGAAATTATCCTCCAAATAAATTCTTTGTACTCATTTTCTTTTCTTAGACCCCAATCAACACCACAACCAACACAACAATAACCATTAGCTGTCCCATGGTAATGCTCGGTGGAGCTGAGACCGCTCCCATTAGCACGAGTTTGACGTGCAGGGACTGGGGGGACACAAGGCACCAGGCCCCACTGCTGGCCCATGAGAAGTGCCACATGCAAAGGCGACTTTCTCTTTTTTCCTGGCATTGTTCAGAAAGCTGAGTGTGAGAGCATCCAGCAAGAAGCAAATGTCCTGCTAGAAGAGAACACATTCCAGATGCAGGGACAGTGGTTGTGAAGTACAAGTTCTCTTGAACTTTTTTATTTTCTTTGTTCTAAATTGTTAATTAGGAAACTTTTTTATTTTCTTACAAATGTGGTGCCCTTTGCCTTTGACCTGTAACTATGAAGGAAGAGTCATCGGCTGTGCTTTATCAAAGTTCCTGACAGCAAAAGTAAAATAAAATAAAATAAAAAATTTTAAATCTCTGAGATATAAATATCGGAGCAAGATGAGAGGTTAAATTAGATGTTGGATCTATGGGCTACTGGCTAGAGACAGAAAGTTGCAAGACATCAGCACAAAGGAAATTACTGAAGCTGTAAGTACAAAGAAGAATGTCTTAAGAAAACACATAGACAGCATGTGGTGGAGCATACCTGTAATCCCAGCACTCGGGAGGCTGAGGCAGGAGGATCGCTGTGAGTTCGAGACCAGCCTGAGCTACATAGTGAGTTCCAGGTCAGTCTCAACTACATAGTGAGACCCTGTCTCAAACACCACCCCCGCAAAAAAAAGAAAGAAAGAAAGAAAATAAAAAGAAAACACATAGGCAGAGATTATGGTTTAGATGCTAGGAGTCCCTCAAAAACTCAAGGGTTGAAGGCTTGGTCACCAGCTGAAAGTGCTATTGGAAAGTGGTGATAAGTTTGGGAGGTGAGGCTTAAAGTTGGAGGAAAGTCATTGGGGGCATGCCTTTGAAGGAAATATTGTGGCCCCAGCCCATTCTTTTTCCTTTTTTGCTTCCTGCTGCCATGAAGTAAGCAGCTTTGCTTCAACACACACTCCCAAGTATGATGTTCTGCCTTGCCTCAAACCCAAAGTGATAGGCCAAGTGACCATGGACTGAAATCTCTGAAACCATAAGCCAAGACCAACCTTCCCTTCTCACACATTAATTACTCACAGTGACAGAAAGCTGACTAACACAGCCGAGCTTCAAACTGAGTTCCTAGGGCAAGATCTGAAGAAGCCCAATGTTCAGGGGCTGAGAAGGGAGGACTAACCTGTGAAGGAAGCAGAGTGGCCAGAGAATCATCAGGGCACTACTGTAGTTTGGAGCTTAAGTGTCTCCCAAAGATCCATATGGTAAAGTCTTTCTCCCAGAGTGGTATTGGAAGGTGGTAAAAACTCTGGGAAGTGGAGCTTAGAGGGAGGTCTTTAGTTCCTTGGGGGTGTGTCCTTCAGGACAGTGGGATCCTAGTCTCTTCCTCTCTCTCTTTTGCTTCAGGTCAGGAGATGAGTGATTTTGTTCTACCTTGTGCTTTCCACCATGCTGTGCTGCCTCACCACAGGGCCAAGGCAATGGAGCCAGTCCATGATGGACAGGATTTCAAATGTAGTGGATTGAAGAGCTTTGAGCAAATGAGGAGACAAACACAGCAAACGGAGACGGAAAGAAGTGATGTATAATCATTTAAGATAGCCTGTCTTGCAAGAGATTTTTGTGATTATTCCTAATATAGATCCCTTTTCTGCATTTGACTTTTTAAAATTTGTGGTACCGAGGATCCCAATAATGAATGTAACTGTATTTATACCTAGAATGTACCAATAAACTCAATAAAAAGAAAAAAAAGAATTTAAAATTTCTGATTATCAGAAAATACCCAAAAAAAGCACCATTGAGAAAATAAGTAGATAAGCTACAAAACTAGAGAAAACAATTCTTCACAGCCATAAATCTGACAAGGAACTTAGATCTAAAATATGTGAAGATTTCTTATAAATCAACAAAAATACAAGCAAACCAATTATGAAATAGCCAAGACTTTAAAAGACATTTAGTAAATAAGGTGTTCAATGAATAAACACATTGAAAACAATAATAATAATTTAATCATCATCATTTTATTATTTCTCAGTTTCTATGGGTTCATAACTCAGAAAAGTGTGGCTAGCCTAGGGGTCACAACTGCTGTTGCAGTCAGACTGTGGCTGAATGTAGAAAAGTAGGAGCTGGGAAAACTGGGACAGTGGGGGAGTCTCGCTCTTTCTCTCTCTCTCTCTCTCTCTCTCTGTCTCTCTCTCAGTTTGGGCTTCCTCACAACATGCCAGCCTCAGAGTCCTCACACTTTTTTCCTGTACCAACTCATTGCTAACAAGATGGATGATGCTGGGCCAGGGATTTAGCTCAGTGGTGCTGCAGTCTGCCTCACAAGCTCAAGGTCCTGAGTTCGATCCCTGGTACCAAAAAAAAAAAAAAAAAAAAAAAAAAAAAAAAAAAAAAAGGAAAAAAATGGCTGCTACACTACCATTTATGATCTAGCCAAAGAAGTCAGTGTTCCACTGAAGGTGTAGCTCAGTTGGAGAGTACTTCCCTAGTGAGGCCCTGGATTTGACTCCCAGCAGAAAACAAAACAAAGCAAAGCAAAACAGTAGTTGCTAATAGGCATATACCATGCTGTGTTTAAAAAAAAGGCCACACAGTGTCGCTTCTGCCACATACCACGGGAGAACCAGTACACAAGTCAACAAACACTTCCAGATGGGAGGGGAATTAGCTTCTGTCTCTTGCTGTGGGAATAAGAACATTCTAAAAGAGCTGGTGGGATGAGATATATTATTGGAGCCCTGTTTAGGTAATACAATCTGTGGTGGAAAAATCTAGAAAGAAAAAGGAGGCAAGAGATCATACCAGGCCTTCTGAGCCACACTAAGTTTTGTCTTGATAGATATTGTGATGAGAGACCACTGGGAGGTTTTGTTTTATCACTGGAAGGTTTTAAGTGGAGAGTGAACTAACTAATCTTTCTTTTTTTCTCTCTTTCTGTCCTTCCACCTCTCATTTTCTCTTATCTCTCTCCTCCTCTCCCCTTCTCACTCTTTTTCTGTTTGAGAAATTGGGTCTTCCTATATTGCACAGGCTGGACTTGAATCTGGCCTCAAGCGATCTCCGTGCCTCAGCCCCCAGAACAACCAGGACTACAAGCATGTACCACTATACTGGGAACTTTCAATTGTCTTTAAAAGTTCTTCTGGAGGCTGTGTGGATAAAGAATTTGTGGGGAGGGTATGAAAAGGGTATGAAAGCAAAGAGACCATTTATGAGGGGGGACGAAGTTCAAGTGACAGATGTAGCACTCAGCCTTATCCTGCTGCGTTCACTAAGAGGAAACCGTAAAGAAGTCTAAGTATGTTGGCTTTATGGTCCAGGATGAACATGAGACGGACTCGCATGATAAACTTGAGAAAGAATAAATAAGAATAAATATCATTTTAGAAGGCATAAGGGTGGACCAGATGTGTCAGCACCAGGATTTAGAATCTGTTAACAACCCTGGACGTCAGGGTTGGCTGACTGGGCCAAGGCCGCAGAGTGAAACACGCATGCGCACACCGTCGTCCGCGGGCGGCACCTGGCGGCAGTTTGTTAACGGTGCACGCGAGGTGTTGGGCAGTCGCCATGGAGACGCGTGGCCCTACACTAGAAGTCGGCCCCTGGAGCTTGCCTCGGAGCCGAATGGTCCTGCGCTGCCTGCCCGGCCATAGGCCGCGATCCAGCGGGGGATGGATCATGGCTGCGGGATACCTCGAAGAGGGAGAGGACGACGACGACGACGACGACGAGGAGAGGGAGGGCGGTGCTGCTGGTTTGCTGGAGTCCAAACTGCCCCCCATCACCGGTGACCCCTTAGAACTAGCCAGACGAAAAGCGAAGAAGAAAAAGAAGAAGAAGAAGAAGAAGAAAACCAAAGGGTCAGGAAAGGGAGACGGTAAGAGGAGCAGTTGGTGAGGCTGCTTCAGCTACCCGACCTGAGATTCCTCTCTCTGAGGACATCCTCTGAGAGATGCCCCTCTGCCCGGAAACCACTTCAGACCAGGAACAGAAACTCACCAGTCCCAACCAGGACACCCCCCCACACACGCCAGTTGTGGCAGCACCATGATGCCCAGCATTTACACATAAAGACTATCGTGCCCACAGAGACCCTCTGGCCATGAATGCAAAGACCCCTTAAAGCCCATGAATGTTCTGCCAACTTCGCGGTCTCCAGTACTACAAAGATCCCACATGCTGCGCTGAGAAGTCACTGTGTTCAGAGTCACAGTAGGATTTAGCTCAGTGGTGCCGCCACCTGCCTTGCAAGCACAAGGACCCGAGTTTGATCCCTGGTATAAAAAAAAAGAATCTGTTCATTCCAGAGTCTCGGTCCCAAACAGACACCCCCACAGATACCCACTATTCCCCAAAGCCTCCAGCTCCATACAGACTGAACTTTACAGAGTTATCCTCTCAGCTTCCCAGGCCCTCAGCCCACACCTTCCCCTTGTTCCCTGTAGAGAAGCCCTCTCACAGAGAGATTTCCCTTGACCCAAGACACTGCCTGAAAATCATATATAGAAATGCAGACTCGTGCTTCCCCGAGATGCCCCCCTCACCCCCTCCTGTGCTGAGGCACCTGCTTCTGAATGCTGTGTAGACACCCAGACTCTGTAAATTTGGATAAAGAATCAATCCTCCTGCACAAAGGATTCCCCACCCCACCCATTCTCCAAGGGGCAGGCTTGGCCTGCACACACACCGTCATGCTGGTCACTGACACATCCTCTAATAATCTCTGAAACCCTTCACAACACCCTCGTATCAATATGACTCCATCCAACAGAACTGAAGCACAGTGAGGGGTACACACAGTCAAGATACTGTGAGACACACAGAGACCCCCCAAAAGTTCCTGTATAATATAATTGTACCCACACAGGTGCTCAGTCTCTCTCATGCTCACCTTCAGATCTATACACACCAACACCTGCTGCAAACCCAGAGTCCTTTTACCTTAAGGGCTTCTTGCAAACTCCCAGATTTCTCAAGAACAGCACTGGGTATCCGCTTTGAGAAGAGAGTGCAGCAGTGACATGGAATGCAACTGCCCATGAGTGCTTTGAGTCCGTTGTCACCCGTATGGTCTACCCCAGTGGCTTTGGCTATAGGGGAAATGGCCCTGACCTTCAGTGTGGATGGTCCTATACTCGAGTTTCTGGGCTTCCTGCAGAGCTGGGGCCTGAAGTAGCAGCCTTTCTCATGTCATCCTGGTAGTAAAGAAAGAGAGCAGTGGGAAGGTTATAATTACTTCTTAAAGTGGAATCACAATAGGCAAAAACAAAAACAAAAATCCTAGAGTATAGGGTAAAAAAGCTCTCTGTAGCCAGGTGAGGTGGCACACCCCTATAATCCCAGCATTCAGAAGGCTGAAGCAGGAGGATTGCCATGAGTTTAAGGCCAATCAGAGCTACATAGTGAATTCAAGGCCAGACTGCAGTACAAAATGAGACCCTGTATCAAAATCAAACAAACAAATGAAAAAACCGACCAACCAAAAAGCCCTCTGTGTGTGTACAAAGCGAAATCAGAACTCTTTGTCTCCTGAGCTATATCCTGAGCCCTTTTTAATTTCTTTATTTTTATTTTGAGACAGGGTTTCACTAAATCACTAAGTTGCTGAGGTTGGGCTTGAACTTGCAGTCCTCCTGCCTCAGTTTCCCAGAGTGCTGGGACTACAGGTATGCATCACCAGGCTGAGCTGGGTGTAGTTTTTGACTGCAGAAATTACAGTGGCAAATACCTAATCCTGTCAGCAGGGGACACCAAATCATTTTCAGAGACAAGGAAGGTAAGGAAATGTCAAGATAGGATTCCCCGCCCCCTTGTTTTCTTTCTGTGGCTTCTTTCTTCCTCTCCACCTCCCAAGAATTTCTCTCCTCAATGGGATGAGCTGCCAGATGAACCACAACTTGTATTATTTTATATGAACACCATATAATTCTAAAATGCTATTAATGGAAAGGAAGGAAGGAAGAAAGGGAGGGAGGGAAGGAGGGAAGGAAAGACACGGCAGCCACAGGGCTGTAGTATTTCCCGGCGGCACAATACTGCTTTCATTAGTCCGGTTTAGGAAGCTTTCCTGCAGCTCGTTGATTCTTCCATAATAAAGAGTCTAGACTGGTGGTAGTCAGAAACTTGTAGACCTGGAAAGTACCTTGGTGAGCATGTGTCGAGGTTGAATGGGAGGCAGCGGGGTGTAGTGCAAAGAACAGGGCACCGGGAGCCAGATCTGCCTTTGAATCTGGCTCTGCCACTTGCTCCAAGACAGGGGCAGGTTAGCAAAGCTCTTGCGGCCTCAGTTTCCTCACCTGGAGAGCAGCCCCGACAGTGTCTATCCAGACAGCTTGCTCAGGGTATGTGCTGAAACAGTAGGGTCTGGGCTTGGGGTGTGGCTCAATAGCACAGAAGGTGCTAAGAGGCCCTGGGTTCAATCCCCAGCACCACAAAAATAAAAAGAAAGAAGGTTCCTCCTGCCTCAAAATCTTGACCAGAAACACACAGGCAGCGGGTAAACAGGAGGCCAAATGGGTGGGGTGGTCGGAGCCCCAGATAAAGAGAGGCCCCCAACTCCTTCCATCTTTGGTGATTTGGGCATCGCCCCAGCCGGGCTGAGGGTGGACATGGCCACAGCAGTAACCTCCTCATGTGCTTGGCAGATAAACATCAAAGTCGAGGCCTGAAGAGTCAGCCGTTTTCTTCATCCTTCCAAGACATCGTGAGTTCCAGCAAAGACCACAGCAGGAGGCCAGAGCTCCGCCTGGACAAGGACAGTCACAAGCATATCTTTGACTCCGCCTGCACCACAAGCCTCCCCCACTTGGCCGAAGTAGAAGAGAAACTTTCAAACCAGATCAACGAAAGTCTGCGTTGGGATGGAATTCTCGCTGACCCGGAAGCAGAAAAAGAAAGGATTCGAGTATATAAACTGAACCGGAGGAAGCGGTACCAGAACTTGGCCCTCAAGGGCTTCTACTCCGATGCGTGCAGTGAGGGGAACCCTGAGAACTCACCCCATCATCTCCCAGACAAAGACTGCAGCCCCAAGAGGAGGCAGCCCACGGACTGCCCGCCCTCACCACTGCTCTGAAGGAAACCCCGCTGCAAAGTTCCTGCCCTCTGATTTACCTCCTGCTCCTCCAGAGTCTACCCACAGCACTGACAAGCTTGCCCTTTCTCCTTGCCACAAGTTGATGTGTTAAAAAAGAATAATAAAAGGAAACCAGAGCCGTGTCTGAAGGAAGTAGACGTCTGTACAGATGAGGCCAATGTCTCCTACACTGAGATGCCCTAAAGTGCCCAGGACACCCCATTCCTTAAGAAAACTGCAACTTCATGAACACAGTGCTTTGCACAAGTGCCTTTTTTCTAAAATATGCTGGTATCTCTCTTTGTTTTTTTTTTGTTTGTTTGTTTTGAGACAGGGTCTCACTATGTAGTTGAGACTGACCTGGAACTCACTATGTAGCCCAGGCTGGTCTCGAACTCACAGTGATCCTCCTGCCTCGGCCTCCCGAGTGCTGGGATTACAGGCACGCACCCACCATGCCTGGCATCTCCCTTTGTTATTTAAATTCTCATCACAGATAGATCTCTGTATAATCAATCTGCCTCTGAAAAGAAAAGAAAAAGTGTGTGGACTATTTAAATTGTAAGACTGAAATTAACTTCATGGATACAGCTTGCATAATACATGCATCTGTTGGGCCCAAGAAAATGCCCTGAATATCCTGGAGACTTTTTCTTAATTACACTATTTATCCTTATGTGGCTTTCAAAATCAGTAGGTTCAAGAACTTCATCCCTGGGAGGTTATTATGGGAAGTCCAAAGAGGACTTTTATAAATATAGTCCTCCCCTAATCCCTCAGGCAGCATTTTAAGCAACATTCGGGAACATTAAAGATGCCTTACTATACTGCTTTTCCTAAATTTATATTCCCCTCTCCACACATAGAGAGGCCTTGTCATCTTGGTTTGCATCCAGAAGCAGACCTGAGACAAGCACTCAAATGCAAGGAGATTATTGGGAGGTAAAGAGAAGGACGGAGGAGGGAGAGACAGCCAGTCCAGGGGACAGTAAGTAGTAAACCCCCTTCTTGCTGGGCAGCTGGAGTTTGATCCCATAGGATGCCCTGGGAAACAATTCAGGCCCAAATCTCAAAACAGTGGCACCCGAGGCGAGTGTGTAGTGGCTGGGTACTGACACTCCCCAGGGTGTGTCTTGGGCAAGGGCGATAATTACCTGGCATTTCTAGCCCGCCGCCCTGTGTGGGCCTGGAAGGTGACTTCAGCTATGGGGGAAATCACCCATAGCGCAAAAATGCAGCCCAATAAGTCCAGAGGGGGAAAGCGGTCTCTGGGTTAGCATCAGTTACCTTTTGGGGGCAGGGTGGAGGTCTAGGCTGAGGTCCCTGGCTCCCCAGGGGTAAAGGTGTTCTTGAATAGATGGGACACGCTGTCCTTGGAGAAGTCAAAAGCCAGTACAGAATGGCATAGTGCTTGTCTGGAAGCGAAGCGGAAGTAACCCCTTATCTGCCACCCTGTGACCCACAGAGCAGCCCTCCTCTTACCCTTCCTTAAAAAGGCCATTTACAGAGCTCCCACGTGTTGCCATCGAGCCCTGGCAAAATATCCTCGGGGGACTTTTGGCAGAGTCCTCTCCTGCCCTGGAGAATGGTTAGCAGTCGGGCCTGGCAGAGACCCTGAAGCAAAGCAGAGAGAGGAGCAGCTGGGCTGGCATCTCAGTTGCTCTCCGGAGCAACAAGCGAGCCGCTGGAGGGTGCTGCAGGGAGAGAGTGAGGATGCGCTGGCTTCAGAGTGCCTCGGGAGCTTAGCACAACCCTCCTGAGGGATGGTTTATGGTGTTCTTCTTGCCATGAGTATGTGGGTTAGTGGGTAACATTATGAGGGCTAGCATCAGAGCTGACTTTCTCTTTCCCATCACATGCTAGCCCTGTGAACTCGGGAACATTGCTTAACCTCTCTAAGCCTTAGTTTCCTCATCAGAAAATAAGCATGCGGCTAGCTACCTTCGTGTTGTGAGAGCCAAACACAGTGATCACATAAAGCATTTAGCATAGCTCTTGGCACCTAAAAAGCTCTCCATGGATTGTGAGAGCTTTGGCCGATGATGTTTTAGGCTGGCACAGCTGCATAGCCACTGCAGAGGCTGCCCAGGTGCTGGCACAGACCTCACTTCATCAAAAGGCGAGCTTCACAAAAGCAATGTGGCTTTGGTGCCTGACCAGCAGATGCCATTCACACAAACCACAGGCAGGTGACAGGGTCTGGAACAAGAGCGAATAGAGAAGGAATGAAGCAAAGGTCCAGAAGACTAGTGTTCTGGGGAGGGGCTTTAGGCAGACAGGAAAGTGTCCACTTGCAGCCTGTGCTTAAGACACAGGGGAGACTGGGGATGAATCTCAGGGTAGAGCCCTTGCCTAGCATGCACAGAGCCCTGGGTTTGACCTGAAACCCAGAAGGGGAAAAAAGGACACAAATAGAGGAAACCGGTGGGAGTTAATCCTCCCACGAGCACAGAAGTGACTCCAACTCAACCCACCCAGGGTCAAAAGTTTTAAGTATCTTTCTCACACTCCAGTTGTATCTGTGAGGATTCCTGCAGTGGCAAGGAACAGAAAACACAATGAAAACTGGCTTATAGATAGATAGACAAAGGGATATGACTGACTCATGAAACAAAAAATCTGGGTGTGGCCACGGCTTCAGGCATGGCTAGATCCAGGAGGTCACAGTATAGCATCAAAATTCATCTCTCCGCACAGCTCACCCCTGCAACTTCTATGTTCGTTCCGTGTCCAGGCAGATTCTCATCACAGCATAGCAGAACGGCCACTGATGTCTTTATAGCTCTGCAAAGAAAAGAGAGCTGCTCCTATGTCCCTGTCCAGGGTCCCTATCAGTACCAGAGAAGGTCTTGGGCCTGGCAAGGGTCATATGCTCAACACTGGACTAATCACAGTGGTCAAGTCAATGAGTGCTGGGTGATGGAAAAGGCCAGAGTCTGGTGGGGAAGTGGGATGAGGCAACCCCACCAAATGCATGGATCCGAGTAGATCATTGTAAACTGTACAGCATCTATGCAGAGCAACTCCCAGAGTGATGCCAAGACTTGTCCATTGCCCTCCAAATAAATAATGATCATTTCTTGTTTCTGGTTTTTTTAAGAAAAGTTCTCCCTATGCAGTCCAGAGTAACCTCCAATTTGCAGTCTTCCCGCCTCACCCTCCCAAGTGCTGGGATTACAGGCATGTGGTAAGAATGATTCCCCATCCACCCACCCCATACCAGGGACCGAACTCAGGACCTTGCTCTTATGAGGCAGGCACGGTGCCACTGAGCTAAATCCCCAGCCCAAAATGATTCATTTTCTTAAAGCTTTGATCAAGGGTCATGGGAGTGGCTCGCACGGCATGTTCATCTCAAGTGATCTGTACTGACTACCTGCTTATCACCAGAGCTACTGACCCTTGGCCAATGTCAGGGAAAGTATTAACCACAGACAAACAATATCCTGCAATCTTGAGTCCAAGAGTTGTTTGGGAGCAGAGGTGGAGCACAAGGAATTTTTAGGGCTCTGAAACTACTCTGAGTAATACTATTGATGGGTACATATTATATATTTGTCCAAATTCAGTATAATACCGGGAGTGAACCCTAATGTAAACTGTAGACTTCAGTTAATAATAATGTGTCGATATTTAGCTAACCAATTGTAATTGATACATGCAAGATGTCAAAAATAGGGAAAATTGGGGCTTGTTGTGGGAGTTTATGAAAAATTTTTGTATTTTTCCAATCACTTTTATTGATCTAAAACTGCTCCCCAAAATAAAGTCTATTGCAATGTGGCGGAGCACACCTGTTATGTCAGCTACTCGAGAGGCTGAGACAGGATGATCCCAAGTTCAAGGCCAGTCTGAACAATTTAGAAAGACTGTTTCAAAATAAAATATTAAGGCCTGGGGATTTAGTTCAGTGGTTCTGCTGCCTGCCTTGCAAGTGCAAGGACCCAAGTTCAATCACAGTACCAAAAAAAAAAAAAAAAAGAAAAAAAAATTAAAAGGGCTGGGGATATAGTTTGGTGGTAGAGTGGTTGCTTTGCACGTTTAAAGCCCTGGGTTCAATCCCCAGTGCTTCATAGAAAAACTAATCTATTGACTGAAGAGAGCAAGAGCACGCTGTGGCTTTGGTGTGGCACATACTCATTTAGTCTCTGAATCTCAGGGCTCTGACTTTTCCATGTTGCAGGCCATCTAAGGAGAGGCCGAAGGGGCAAGGAATCGATGTTTCTAGCCAACAGCAGCAAGGACTTGAGCCTGCTGCCAGGTGCATAAGTGACCTTGGGAGCAGGTCTACCACCAGTGATGCCTGCGGCTCCGGATGATGCCTCAGTTACAGCCTCGTGTGAGTCCTAGAGCCAGAGGCAGCAGCCAAGCTGCACCCAGGTTCTGACCCACAGAAACGTTGAGAACACAGCAGCGTTTTTAAAATTTTTTATTTTGTTTTTGAGACATGGTCTCGCTATATGTGGCCAAGTCTGGCCTCCACCTCCTGGGCTCAAGTGATCTTTCTGCTGCAGCCTCCTGAGTAACTGGGACTACAGGTGCACCATACCATGGCCTGGTTTAATAACGTTGTTTCCCAGAAACCCAACAGAAGAACAAAATACTACAAGCAGTAAGAGAAAAGAAACAAACCACATGCAAAGGAAAGCCCATCAGAATCACAGCAGACTTTTCAGCACAAACCCTTGGGGCCAGGAGAGCCTGGAATGAGATATTTCAAGTACTAAAAGAGAACAACCTCCAACCTAGACTGATGTATCCTGCAAAACTCTCTTTCAAAATGGATGGGCAAATAAGACACTTCCATGACAAAGAACACCTGAGAAACTACATAAATACCAATCCAGCACTACAAGCAATTCTAAACAAGATCCTAGAAAAAGACAATGAAGGCAACAACACCATGAGGCCCAACAGAGCAAATAAAAAAGGCAAGACAAGAAACTAAAAGGAGAGGGTGAAAAAGTAAAAAGAGTCAACAAAAGGCCAATAACATGTCAATAATAAGTCAGTATATATCAGTTATAATCATCAATGTCAATGGCCTCAACTCACCAATCAAGAGAAATAGACTGGCAAAATGGAATAAGAAGCAAAATTCAACAATATGTTGTATATAAGAAACACACCTAGGGCAAAAAGAAGCCCATAGACTGAAAGTAAAAGGATAGAAAATAATTCTCCATGTGACAGGAGCCCCCCCAAAAAACAGGGGTAGCAATCTTATTTGCAGACAAAGCAAATTTCAAACCAAAACTGATTCTAGTATTATTGATGTAGGATGGTACTGTATCATACCTCCGTGAATGTAAAATA